GAGCTTTTGTTCGGTAATCTGATCCAACTTCTCTACCATCTCAATGGTTAGATGATTCTTCCAATCTCCCACCTTTCCTTGACGGAAGAATACTTTGTTTTCCTCACCAGATGACAACTTCCCAGTCCTGTTGATTTCCAGATTGCTCAAATTACCAAAGCTACACAGCTTTAAGATTTCTTCCACCATTCCTGATTCTTCTTCCTCATTGGAAAATGGACATTCCAAGAACTCAGCAATGCGTCTAAGATTGACAGTAGGGTTTTCTTTCATGTCATCGTACTTCAAGAAGAGCACCTATTAAAGACAACATATAAATGTACACTCTTTGTAGTTTAATCTTATAGATGATCATGATTTAATAGGATATTTGAGCGAACAAATGAAAACTGTGACGTGTCAAGCCTTTGGAAGAAAAATTAAGAGATATTAGGGGGAAAAAAAGAAAATCTGAAGCAATTATTTGTGATTCTATGGATATTGATTACAAGAGATATACAGTCTATATATAGATAGAGAGATAAGAATTTGCCTAAGAAGACAATGAAACTTATTATAACATAAAAGGCATTAATCCATGACTGATTAAACTCAAATTATGTAAGTGTTAGAATTTCATGAAAAAAGGAATTTGAATTTGTGTGACAGATTATATTCAAAGCAACATATAAACGAAAAATTCATGACCTCATCTGTCACCGTAAGCTTTTAATTGAAGCAGTTCAACTTTACCTTGTGAGGACTCTCCCTGCTTTCTTTCCAATAATCTAAAACATGGTCCAGAAAGGGTCCAGCGATACTCACTCCTCTACAGAACATATCAAAGACTTCTCCAAGTGAATGAGTTCCCATTTCCTTAGGCCTTAACTTGTTAGAAAATTGCCACATTGACACAAAAGTGTCCTTGGGGTTTCTACACAGATAGACAAGCTTACATCTGGAATTCTGAATAGATATCGGGATGGACGTAAATGGTATATGGGTTGCGAACAATCTGGGAGAATTCATGGAGGAAAGATCAGGGATTTGATTATCAACATATAGTGTTTGCTCCAAGAATGGCACAAGATCATGTGGATTTTTGCTGAGTAAAGGGTGATCTTGAGCAATGGGATATTGCATTCGATTCATTAAGGTAAACACGATTGCCTTCAACCAGGTCGTCCCTGATTTGGGAGTCGTAATAAGAATAACATCAGAATCCCGAGCCCGGAAATGTCGTTGACATGTAATGATCCCTTGAAGGTGCCTGACCGGGTGCCAAAAGCCTTGATATTTGTAGAGATAAGAGGCAACCCATCCATTTTCTTTGGGTAAAGAAAAGATTAGGTCTTTAAATTCTTGCGCCACCACTTCTTCCTGGTGTAAATACTTCGGAAGAAATGCAGAAATTTGACTTTGCATATCTCTAGACATAATTGTGGCTTTAAAGAACGAGTTGAGTAACAGTTAAAAATGAGCCATAAGCATTTTATAGTGAGAAGAACTGCAACTCAAAGTTCCCATTACCAAGAATACTAAAATAATAATAATTACTAAATGATTGGCGTGCATGTTAATGACGCTAGTGTCCAGCATTGTTATATTTTACAGTTTACTTTATTGAAATATATATAAAATTTTATAAAAAAAATATTTAATCCCCCCAACTTGCCTACAACAGCTCTATCCAGCAGTACTCTTGATTAAATCCAACTGTCCAGGAAGGGTCTAAACTAGCACAATTCGAGTGAAAATCAAATGGCCAACAGGTGTTTGCCAACTAGGCAGTATCATCCAAATAACCAAAGGTTACCAATTGAAAAAAAATAGCACTAATTTTAGAGTGCTTTGAGAAAGATAATTTTTCACAGTGAAGAAGATGAAGGGTCAATGATTAGCATCTGTCTATTATCATATAAATTTTCCTTTTCTTTATTTTTCTTTGTATGTTAAAATTCTTTGCCTTGTAGCATTTATGTATAAGGATATAAGTTTACTGCTCTGAAACTTGTGATGTCTATCTTATTATCACATCTTTTAACCTTTACTTTTAGGAAATATATATGTAATTTGATTATAATTATAGCCCAGCATATGATCCTTCTGAGCAAACTGCGAAAAAGAAGATAAAGTCGTTAATACGAAGTAAACTTTTCTCTGGGGATGTTCTTCAATGTATTAATTTACTTTGATTAAACTTACCTTCGATCAACTATGTCACAAGAAAGATTGAATGGATTGCCTACATTATCAATAGAGAGAGAAATGGTTAAACAACTAAATTATTCAGATTTGATTAATGTTTTTGCCTCTAAAATAATAAGGCGAATACTATATAACTAATGGTCTGAAATATTGTTGATTTTGTTACTTTATAATATAATTTTTTTGTACAATATATTTGTTAATTGTTTTAATATTAAGTTTTAAATTAGCAATCGGTGCATAATATACCGTTGAATTTTGCATTCACGTTGATTTTGGGGGCCTAATTTATGGACTCGCCTTGAGGCCCCAACAATCATAGGATCGGTCTTGTGTCAAGGATATCCCTAAATTGCCCAAAACTACTGGTAGATGCATATTTAATGACAATATGATGAGATTGATTTTGATGAGTAATGAGATAATGAGTTATTATTGGTTCAACAAAAAAATTTCAAATACATCGACTAACAACTACGAGCAAACATTTCTAAAGTAATAGCAAATTTTGAAAACAAATTGACACGATCCGTCCTAAATCACCCTAGTGGATTCGAAACGTGGCGTGCGCTGATGATATATGCTGACTAAATGTCAAATCCATCATCAAAGCTCACTATGAATTACTACAAGATATGCAATAAAATCAAATGTTTATAAAAACATAGTGTAATGGACCCAAAACTTTACTTTGTGGTTTAATCAAATTGACTCATATCCTTCAACATGTCATGTGGCTTTAACTCTAAAATTACCAGACTCCTCAAGCTATCAAGAACCAATATTACATGTAAAAATAATTTTAGAAAAATATGAGTTGATAGCTCAGTGAGTGGAAGAATTAAAAAATAATCATACTTTCTCCCTTAAATATTTTTATCAAACGTCAAGTTCATACCATTAAATACTTCACATGATAGCCTCATACAATTATAGACAAAAAGTTAGACATTCTCATAACATTGTAAATATCATCCCATTAATCACGATATAGTCGTCAACTAATATTTATACTACCGTCTCATCACATCACATGTAATCCACAAAAAATGTACCATCTAACTAAAATCTGTAATTTACCCTTGGGGCTAAGCACTTTCGCCATGGTCCTTTGGCCCCCTCCCTGTATGAAAGCGGGTCTCATGACCTCTGGTAATCAATTCTAGAACACGGTCAAGACCCCTCAGTGAACTATATGTACACGATCACGACCTCTTTATCCCCAATCTATCCCTCAGTGTAGTATAGAATATGGCCAAAGCTCCTCAGTGAAATAGAAGGAATATATAATCATGGGTATTTTTCTGGTCGGTCTCAAAATCATATCTCATATTCTAATTCAAAATATACCATATACAATATTTGAAATCCCACATGTATCATAGTAAAAGATATTTCCATAATAACCATATAATTCGAACACATAATAACACATATTTTAACAATATACTTAATTTATAAATACTAAAAAAATATTTATATTTTTCCACTCACAGAACTATGTTCGTGAAATCAATTCGGTTGGTAAGCTGTCCCGATATTAGTATTGCCGCCTGAAATATGATATAATTTTTAAATCAACAATTAATTATTTTAAATAATTTCAATAATTAAATAGGCGATACCTAAATTTAATCATTTCACGTTTAAGCTATTTCCACAGTCTTTTTAATCACTAGAACTAATTTTTCTTTTACTTTACTCAATTTCATAGTTTATTATACTTGACCTCTTCAATAAAATTGAATTTAGTCTAACAATCTAACAACTATAAAATTAAACATAGCTTGACAATAAATAACTTTTTACTTACCTTTCAAAATTGAGGAATTCAAGCTAATAGTATAAACCACTTATTTTCGAACACGTTGGCGAAACTTTTCTATTTTTTTCTTTCTTCTTCCTCTTTTTTATTTTTTTTTTATTTTTCCTTTGCTCTCGTTTTCTCTTAGTGTGTGTGTGTTTCTGTGTGAAATTATAAATGGATTTGGATGGAATCCACCGCCAACCCTTCTTTCTTTATTATCTTCTTATTTAATTTTATTTAATTTTTTATTTTAAGAGCTCGAGAATTTTGACTTTTCATTTTCTTTTTTTTTTAAGGTATTACACAAACTGAAGAGTACTTGATGTAAACCACATCTACGATTTCAATTAAAAGAAATAAAAATATCATCAACAAAAACTCAATTAAAAAGGTTAGATATCAAGAACGTCAATACTTTATTCATAATCCTTCAAAAACATGACTCTCCACAGACAAAGCTTAAATAGGTTTTCACAAAATAAACCCTAATCATAATTAAATTTAAAGGACAAATGTGAAGCAATAAAACTAAACTAAGAAACCCATCTCAATCGAACCGTCAAGACTCAATCTAACCCAGCCGCGTCCGGCCATATCCAGTAGCCCATTTCTGTTCTTACCTCTCCGTTGTTGCTAAAATGCTACTTCCTTAGCGTGTACTTCATCATCACTTTAAATTTGATGCTCGTTGGGGAGAATGATTGTTGCGGAAGCTCTCTCAAAAGGATTTTCAAACGGTGGTTTTTCAGACTCAGTCCAACGTACCTTTCTCTATCAACAACCAATCCAAACGGCTCCAAACCACAACCAATTGATTCACCTTGGTTGCTATTCAATCTTACCCACGTAGGACAAGAAAAGGATGATGATTTATGGCCACAAAGACTAGGAGAAGACACCACAAAGGTATACTATGAAAGAACTACCAATTGCACACGTTATACAAGCGTTTTGGACACTTCTGGACACCTTTTTCTCACACAAAAGGGGGGCAATCGGGATTCACTAGTTTCTTCTCTCAAAATCACACAATCATCATATCAAAGAGGCTAGGGTTATATTCATATATATACTCTAGGGTTAGGCTTTAAGTTGGGACATTAAAGGGATAAACGTGCCAAGATTCAAGCCATTCACAAGGAATACAATTGGGCCGGGTATAGCTCATGGACTTGGTTGTTGGACTTATTTCATTCATCGGCCTATGCCTATGAAATAATATTAACCCACGTTAACATCATAGCCCGGGATTTATTGGGTATCAAAAAACCCAACAAATCTCTACCTTGATGCCCAATAAATCTGCAAGCAATCAAAACACACAGTTAATACTTGCATAATCAAGGTAGCCAATAAAATTAGATCACAGACCTTACCTCGTGTTTCCAACTTGAAACACATACCATACCTGCTCCATGTACTCACTGGGGCTAAGGTCAAAAACACCCAAGTAGAAGCAAATATTTAACAGTAAACAATCAAGAGCAAATACACATGCGATGACGATATACTATAGGATAAAACACACAGATCTTTTCAGAAACATGTTCACATAGAACTATAGATTAACACCAAGTCAATCAAACCACGGTCAACCACATATGCAACACATGCATAAATGACCCTAAGAAAAGATCTCACCACACTTATTCTATCCCATTCCGTGTTGCTCACACCTCGAGAACACATATCTCCTCTCATCACCCACCAAGCTCACTAGACAGATCACTCAACTCATGTCTAACTGGCAAGTCACAATAGATCCTAAGTCCACGGGATAATCCTTTATCTCCACATCACTTGTCCCAATCTACGTGGATAATGGGTCTCCACCTAACAGAAGTGATAGAAGTGCCTCTCTCACATTCCACCTGATCAGGGTCTCTTTCCAGATAAAGGATCCCAGACATTTGATCACATCTCCACTCGTGATCCAAATGTCACATTCTACATCCCTCGGTACAAACCACCATGTACCCTTAGGCATCTATATTCTACCTCACCAAAAGACACACAACACACTGCTAATGCATCCTAACCCACTATGCATGCAAGCAATTACACCAAGTAATCCTAATGTCTCAAATTCATGCAAATGCACATATCAAACACATTGAAATGTAGTAGATAATCATGCAACAAAATTTAGACAATCACACACATGCAGAAAGGATCACACACAGATGCATATGCAGTGACTAGGTTTACACTCAATAAACCTCACTGGGGTCATAACTCGACCCCTCAACCAAATTCGTCTCACTTCTCATCTTTCCCTTCAACTTATCTTTCTTCTTGGGACAGTCCCTAATAAAGTGTCCAGACTTACCACAACTGTAACACCTTTTACCACTAGACTTTTCTTGTCCCTTGCCCTTCTTCTTACTATCCTCATCACGCGAGTCACTACTCGAATCACTACCGTCTTGAGTTCTACCCAAATTCATTTGCTTAAACTTCATCCTACT